TGGATGGTTATGAGGTGGATCCATATTTGATGTAGGGAAGTAGATTGGAGGTCTCCCATCAGCAGCGCTAGCAGCAAACCGTAGTGGAGGCAGATCCTGTCTCCTTTGCATTTCAACTCTCATTTCTGCTATTTGCTGCATCAATTGCAGAACCAATTCATTCTGGTCCGCTATGGTGGGTTGAGCCACCACAACGTCGGTGAGACTTACTTCTTCGTTACGGTCTCCCATGACTGTCTTTCCTTTGTTTGACCTTTGTCTAAGAAAAGAATCTACGGGACCTTTCGATCTGGTTAAATAGGGATGATTTGCTAGCTTTTGATCGACACAGATCAGTTTCAAAGTACCTGAGAAGGAAAACAACTCAAAGGCAGATTTGTTAATGTAGATTCAGAATACAAAATGCATAATTTCACATAGAGAGCAGATAAACATACAAGTTTCTTTGTTTGAGGATATCTTCAACTTACGAGTAACGACGGAAACATATATTTTTAACAAACAGGAGTTTGCTTGTTTTAGTTTTGACACTGTCTCAGAAAAGCTAAATTACGTTGAGCTAAGGTCTTCATGCAGCTGCTCTTTGACATCCGTTAATCTAGCCTTTGTACGTTCTCGTAACATGAAGGGGGAGAATAAATTTTTTAAAGATAGGGTCCAAGCCCGGGAAGGCTGCCTACGTATCTCACAAGGAGAATTTAGGCCCAATGTAGTTCGAGTACAAAAGGAAATATTTCCATTCATCCGTTTATTACGATTACAAGGAAACTTAAAAACAACAAAACTTTAGATATAAAATGATGACTAAATCTTAGTCAATCTTCCTCTCGTTGCAACATCAATCACGAAGAATAAACTCGACTTGAATCTTTCCCATGTTGATGAGGGATTCGAGGTCATAGCTATTATGTATGGCATCATGGTAAGCACAAGGTCTGAAGATTTCTCCCCCAACGGGATCGAGGCCTCTGTCATCATCATGGAGGGAGGCTAAGACCCCATTTTTGAACAAATCCATGTAGATATGCTCGGGATATAAACCCACAAACAAACTGAGTGCGCTCAATCGGCTCCGACGGATCATAAGCGATAACATATTATAACCCCACATGCGCGAGATATTCCCAATGTCGATCTGGTGGCAGACTCTCATCTTAAGTTGCACGCATTCCTTTATGGTCTGTCCTTGCTGGTTTGGGTGGAAGGCACATACTTTTGAATAGTTTTCTTGCTGAAAAATTGAAAATAATCCTTCCTGAGGTGCCCATCCGAGATGTTCGTACAAAAGGGTGCAAGACATAACCCTCGCCTACACACTATGCGTCGGCTCGTAGGCCGGAAGAGTGATCCACTTTTATCCTCATCTCCCCAGAAATGGAGGTTTTTAGATGATTTCCTCGTCGGCGTCTTCCCTAGTTGCTCTAGGGTAAGTGTCGTCTGGACCACCACTAGCCTCTTGTTCACGGATAGAGTATTTCCCGCGCATTTTATGAAGTTTGGTGATCATGTTATGGTGGAACGCCTTGTTCTTTTCCCTCAATTCGGCGATTCGTTCCCTCATGGTGATGAATTCTGCCATCTCCGCTGTCAGTTCCTCATCAATTATCGCATTTCTAGCCAGCATATTTGCGGTTTCTGAATCTATCTCCGCTTCTCTTGCCTCCCTTTCCTGAATCCTTAGTCGAAGCATATCCAACTTCTTGCTTAAGTCCTCTCTCTCTCTCTCTCTCTCTCTCTGCCTCAATCCTTTTCTTCTTCCTCTTTTTTGACATCAAATCCTCATCCAGTGCCGCAGCCGTAGCTTTGTAGATCAATGTGGAAACTTTGACCCTGAGTCCTTCTTCTCTAACCTCTTGAATTTCTCAAGTGATTTGTTCGATCTTTATTTGTAACTCTTATCCAGTGAGTTCCATCTGGATATTCTTACCATTATCCATAGCAGTGATTGGCTTTTCCTGAGACAGTAGAGCAATATTTTAGGATTTGGGATATAAGAGGCGTCTTTGAGTGAGAAACTGAAAAACAGAATATTCTGGTCGAACATTTTTGTGATGATGACTTGTATGTTTTTGAGCATTTTCTGGTAGGAGTGGGTTTACGATATTCTTATTCATAGAAACATATCATATAAACAGTTAAAACACATATATCACGTCCTAAACATGCTTGTAACCCTTTTATGCAAAGGATAGGCCTAACAAACTGAAGGATGTATATGCTTTTTAAACCTGATTTATTATCCTCAAAATACTTCATTAATAGCATCCAAAATGTCTGATAAACATAAAACAAGAAATAGTTCTAAAAAATAAGTTACAAAACAAAGTACAAATAAAGCAGTCCCACGCAGGGGATGGTAAATAAAATTCAAGCCTTCTCTGATCCTTCTTCAAGTCTGGTCCTCTTGGTGATGTCGACCTCTTCCCACATAGTATATCTATTCGCCCATAGGTGATATCTCATCAATAGAGCTCCTTCTTGATGTCTGAACCCCTCCATTGACTGAATTTGTTGTTCCATGCTATCATCTAACTCTATTATACACTGTCTGGCTTTTCATAGTTCTTGTTTCAATTGATCTATGACTTTGACGTCTTCTGAATGACAAGTTGATTTCTAATTCATTCTTATCAAACTTCACTTGAAGTCGGTGAAGTCAGACTTGATTTTGGCTCCAACATCTGCAATAATGTGAGAAAGGTTTGGACCAGGCTCAATAGTTCTAGCGAGACTCTTTTTCAACCATTCTTTGTACTCCCTAGAATATTTTGGACGAAACCTGTTTGGTACAGGTTCACCCAACACTCTTCGACATCTCCACATCCTACGCATGTCTTCAGCAAATGCAACTCGTCCATTCTCATGGTCAGTTGCAAATTTCCTCATATCTGCGATCTGGGGCAACTCTTGTTTTCCTCCTAGTAGCCTTAGGACTTGACCGGGAGCATATGGTCTAGTCCCTCTTAACCCAACAAATACCAAGTAAGAGACTTTTTCTGTTCGAACCACCATATTCTTAGTTACCACCAAATTGTCTATTGACCACTGTACGTCTTCTTCCCTCATCCCTCGAAACCTCTGATACCAAAAACATTCTCCTCCGTTCTTATTGCAACGATTGTGGTACAACCACCAATCATGACCGTGTAGCTTGTTTGACTGCTTTAGGGGATCTGGTTCTTTTGGATTATAAGTCTTGATCAAATGTCAAATCATCCACCACTGTAGTATCAGATTACACCCTTGAAAGAAGCGTTCTTCGCTTTGACATTTGTCTGAACCCTTATAGATGTCGGCAAAAATCATAGTAGCTAAAGTGTAGTACTTTGTTGATGATTTATGGTCCATTCCGTAGAAGATGGCATGAGTGACCATAAACACGCTAGGATGAATAGTTTATTTTGGCCCTTGAGGGAAAACCATTATTTCGAGTAAACATATTGTAAATGTGAGGGGATGCGTCTCTTTTAATTTTTCTTTTGAAACAAACTCTTCTTTATATTTCTCATAAGCCCCTGCACGGCCGAACCGATAATACAGTTTATTGAAAGGTATATTTGAGTCAGGGAGCTTGTCCATCCACTTGATTTTAACCAATGCTAGTTTTTCTCTAATTTTGGTGAAATCCCATATTATAAGATTTAGGAGATCAGTATCTGGATGTCGTTTCCTTTTGTTGCACATGGAGACGCTTTCGTAACTCGTGAGGACTTCTTCTATTGTAGGCGTCAACTTCACTTCCCCAAATCGAAAAATCATATGCTCGCTATCCCAGAATTTCACCATTGTTCGAATTAGGCCATACCGGGCATTCATCTCGAGCAGTGACGGGAGGTAACCTATGTGTTTCTGAATAATCATTTTGTCTTCGTTATTCATGAACTTCCACCATACTTTGAGGAAGGGATTGAGGATGGTAACCACTCTTGTTTTCAAAGGCTCGTGTGTCGGATTCATCCTGGAAAAATACCAGATAAATATTAGTTAACCCCCACCCCCGTAGACAACAAATCGTTTTAAAAACACATACGTCCTTCAATTATCACATAAGCATGGTTGTCTATTTTTTGCAATTTTGGGCCAATTAGACAAAAGGTAGACTTTTATGGGCGCCACACGCCTTGGGTGTTGTGTCGTCCTAGTTCAAATGCTCCTAAATTTGAGATTTTGGCTCAGTTCTACGCTAGTTGACTATGAATGGCTTTTGAAAAGACTGAAAACACAAACGGACAATTTGGGTTGGAACTCGAGATAACCATTGGACGCATAATAAACCAATAAATTGCCGCTAACTCCGAAAGAAGGTGAGTATAAATAAGTCCGACTGTGGTTCCGCAACCGTCCTTGAATATACTATATAATATATATCAGAAATATGTCATGATATAAAATGCCAGTTTATAATTTAAGCAATTTAATCACATATAAACAATTCAATAATAACACTTATTACAAATAGTCAAATTATTTTAGTTAGAACTTAATTATTCCCCAGTAGAGTCGCCATTTCTATTTTACGGAAATATATAAGTGAAGTAAAAAATGACTAAGTTTCAAAAAATTGATTAATCTCATGATTTAACAGAAATCGACTTTCCAAATTAACAGAGTCGCCACTTGATTTTTTGTAAAAATCAAGAAAAACTTAAAATTGTTTTTTCAATAGATTTAAACAGATAAAAATCAATTGAAAAAAGGGTTCAAAATTTAATGTACAGTCTGAGAAGGTGTTAGGCCCTCAGAATACCTGATAATTTGCAATTGACTAAAAGACATTTTGAAAAGTTTCAAATTTTGATTAATTACAGGAAATTTATTTTTATTATTATTTACATACTATTATCTAATTTGATTTTATCTGTTTTAATTATTTTTTCTCTAATCATTTTGCTAAGGTGAAATAACTAGAGGAAATCATTCTTAAGGTAATGAATTCAAGTATTAAATAATATAAGACCAATTAAAAGATTATATATATATATATATACACACACGTTAAATTTTGGACATATAAAGTAAAGAAAAATAGCTATCACCGGGAATTATTAAATTAAAACCGAAATTCAATAACGCTAGTCAATTAATATACTAAAAATATATGGAGAGAAAGTAGTTAAACTTGGACTTTGGCCCATGTTTTCCTTCATTTTTTTTTGCTGTTCTCTTTTGGGTCTTGGCCCATTTCTCACAAAATTCTGCAGGGAAATCAAATGGGCTTTGGCCCCATTTCTTTTTTAAAAATATGGTATAGACTTAATGTAAACCGCTGTATATGACGCGTATCCAGTATATTTTGAACCTTCTGAAACCTGGATTGTATCTAATTTTGTATGCTGTATTTTCTGATCTGCATTTCCACATTTGCACCTGTTTTGGTAATTCCAGCTGTATGCCAGTGTATATAGCTGGTATATCAACGTGTTTTAGGCTTTTTTGGGGGCTGGAAAATTGATTTCCAGCAATATATTGCTGTCTTCAGCCTTTCCAGCTACCTCCTAAAGTTGCCAAGATAGCTGAATCGATGGGAAAAATTGAGCTTTCCCAGCTCAATTAACGGATGCAAGAGGAAACAAGGATTCCCGAGGGACTTTGTCAATGCCATAAAAGAAAGGCAAAACATTAACTAGAGGAAAATGACATGGAACAAAATAAACGAATTAACGAAAGAAAACATACAAGGATAAGGTAAGAATTATTCAAACACTCGCAAAACCAAACAAGGAGTTTCCCGAATAAGTCACATATGTATTTATGGATAACACAGTAGTCATGGCAAAGTCTACTCCAAACATACAATAACTTCTAAAAATCAAAAGCATGATAAACATTTTCCTTAAGAGCAAAAATAAGAATTCTGAATGAAGATATTTAATCAAGATAACAGTGAGCAATCAACTAGATAATTTCTTTTGAACATTTATCTCAAATGCACCTATTTGAAATCCTTTCCTAGATAGAAAAAAACAATTTTCATTTATGAACCCCTTTATACTCGGACCAAAACTAGGCAGCAAAAGGTATCACAAGACCAAGCATATATTAATGACATGATTAACAGAGAGCAGACGGAGGAAAAAGCCTGCTTCTCATAATAGCAGACGCAAAAACCGGTACGTAAACGCGATAGGAGACCCGAAAATAAAACCATAGTGAAACCAAAAAAGTACTATCAACTCAGGGATGGAAGACGGGACAAAAAGAGACACTACCTAAAGAACTTTCATGCTAAACTAATACCTTGTTGGATAGAAAGGTATTATATCATTTCAAATCAAGAGAGCTTGAGACAAACTTAAGCAAACAAAACAATGATCAGTCGTACAAAGATACATTAATTAACAACAAACTCTTCGAATTCATGGCAAAACATTAAACTATCTAGGATGAATGGATGAGTTACGAGAAGTCTAATCACCAAACACTGAACGAGTGCTATGATATCATACTACAAAATGACCTGAAGACGAACGAGTCATATGAATGTGAACTAAACTAATATATGCTTAAGATTATACGACGGAATAACTTTCTTGGCGCTTAAGGACCTTATGGAGAGTACAACAACCATGGACTTGCTGAAACCTCAAAAATGTAGGCTCAGACGAACACCAAGCCATCCTCGAAAACAGAAAAAAACAAGAAAAAGAAAAAAAACGATAGTAATAGATTATCAGACCAAACTTTACCCCCTAATTCGCAAGCAGCAACGAGTCAAACAAAAATTTCATTCAGTCATGTAAGATACTTCACGCTATCATGAACAACACAGTGAAAACAAGGGATGCTTGAAAAGAGACGGACGTTACCTTTATAGGGGCAGCCCAACTGGGACGGCAACGATTTACGGAGTACTTCACCACAAACTCCGAACCCTGGGAGTTTCTACGAGTCCTAGCAATCTTCAGACAACGAAACAAGAACAATTCCAAGGAGTATTTTAATGCGGCTTACGTAGTTCTTCGCCAAAAATTTCCCAACTCACAAAAACCTCTCTGGTATTTTCTTCTCAAAATATCCCCCCACCCCCATTAATAGAGAAGAAAGTCAGTTTTATATAGGTCGAAATTTGGGGGGAGATGAGGAAAAATCCAAAGAACAATGGGTCCATTCAAAATTTGAACCCCAAAAACTTTCACAATTAAGGGGAGACACTCTTTTTCTGAGCCTTCAAACTATTTCGAAAGGGCAAAGGACGAATGGACGCCCTCGATCAATCTTCTGTCCTAGAGACGCTACGTGGATCAATCTTGAGCTGCCAAGGACGGAGACGCAGGTCTGCTACAGCAGTAGCTTTGTCGCGCTGCATCAGACTGCTGGAGAGGTAGAAGACGACGAAGAACAACTGTCCTTAGCTTGCCTTTCCATGTATTTCGACGGAAAAGGGAATCGCTTAGAGCCGTTGCTGATTCTTCCGTGAACTTCCCTTCGCGTGAGGTGGATTGGAGCGCGTACAGGAGTTCGGTGGCTACTCACGCGTCCTTGTCTTTTAATTTCACTTTAACAGTGTAAGCATCGTTGGATTGTGATGTTGGGCCTCTTCGTAAGGGAAAGGAAAGATTTGGGCCGGGTTTAAGGGGAATTAGGTGGTGGGCCTGGTGGGATCGGGAATTAAATTAGGAAAATTATATAAATCACAGTGTAAAACATAAATTACCTCCTATCCCTACTCTTTTTAAATTTACAAAAAATCCCTTATTTTCAATAAGTTTCTGATACATAATAAAACACTTAGATACATTATATTGTATTCCATTTTATCAGTTTGTTGAGTAATTTTAGGGATACGTTTGTTGAGTAATTAGTGGGGTTAAAAACAGAAATTTGAATTAATGCCTACTTTTTATGTGCCACGGTTATTATCCTTAAATAAAGGCATTAACTTGTGACTTTTAATAGCAGTTATATTCCCTTAAAATTTGCCATTAGTCATCTTCTCTTCTATTATGCAGTAACGAAATTTTTTATTTTCATTAGTGACTATCTTCCATTTTTTTTGGCAGAAAGCATATTCAAATTTTCGTTGAATGTAATTTTGTATCCGGTTTCGTAATGATTATTACGATATTGCTAAGGCATTCAGGAATATGGGAGAGTGAGGTTAAATACAATCAATACAAAAGTGATGGGATAGTGGTTGGAGAAAATATTTCATATATGAATTTAATCTCAGCAATTGCTACTGAATTAAATATTGATGAATTGAAAAAAAATATTATTATCCGATATATTGTAGTGGGTAATTCTTCTCCGATGATAATTAGGAATGATATGGGTGTGAAGCTGTTTATAGAAATAAAGAAGCAAGAGGTTGGATTCAGTATGTATCCGCTTTGCATTGATACAAATGAAAAAAGTACAGAGGAGTTACAAGGTTTTGATTCAAGTAGTGGTGCAATTATGTGTATTGAAGGTGGACAAAGAGACGCTAATGCTCTAAACGTTGTTGAATCAAACATTGGTGATTCTTGTTACATATCCGAGATGGAGAAAGAAAATTATATATCGGATACAAATATATCAAATGTGGAGACGAAACAATTGTACAAGGATAAAGCAACTCTTGTGGCTGTAATGATGAAATACAAAATTAAAACTAGCTTCAATTTTAGAGTCAAACGGTCAGATACAAAAAGTTATATAAGTATTTCATATTTGATTTTTCTTTACACACTTTAGATAATGATATTTTTGGATAAATTTGGATTATTTACATGGTTAGTATATCACTTGGTGTTGGATAATTAAAAATTTATTTTGTATAAGTCAAAGATGGAATTATAATTGTGAATATTTAATTTATTTTGTATTCGTTTCACCGGAAGATAACGAAACTTGAATACATGGGATCAGAAAAGGTGTACACATATCAATGTTATGGACGTGTCTGTGAACGTGTGTAAATATCAAAAATTTTGTATCAAATATTAAAGTTTGAAGTATGCATTTTTTCTACTAACTAACAAATTTATATTGGTATAATTGCAGCTATGTTTTAGAGTGTTATTCGGAGAATTGTTGTTGGAAATTAAAGGCGTCTGTTAGGAAAAACACTGATATATTCAAAGTAAGATACTTCAACAGTGAGCATACATGTCCATTAAGGGATAGGGTATTAAGTAAAGTACAAGCTACTGTTGGATTTATTGGTGCTTTTACAGCTCCAAAATTGGTAAATGATAAACGAAAACATACTCCAAATGATATAATTGATGATGTTAGGGAAATGTATGGTGTTGAGATTTCTTACCAGCAAGCATGGCGTGCTAAAGAACGTGCACTAGAGTTGATAAGGGGCAATCCTGCAGATGCATATAAAAATATGCCAAGATACATACATATGTTGGAAACGGTGTATCCAAATTCTTATATACGGATGCACAAATCAGAAAAAAATGAATTTATGTATCTATTCATTGCTTTAAGGCCTTTGATGAGAGGGTTTGAGTTCTGTAGGCCTGTTGTTGTTGTTGATGGTTCACATCTTAGTGGAGCTTACAAAGGGACGTTTGTATCCGCAAGTACTCTTGATGGGGCAGGTATGTCATGTTGCTGCATAATTATAATTTTTTTAAAATGATAATAATAACATTGTTTCAACATTATGTATCAAGTACATTAATATTGTGTGTTGACTATGTTAAGGTTGCATATTACCATTAGCTTACGGGATCGTCGATACGGAAAATGATTGTTCATGGACATGGTTCTTCACACAGTTCAAAAATGCATTTGGTGAGAGAGAAAAAATGTGTGTTGTTTCTGATAGAAACGAAAGCATAATTAAGAGTGTTAGTATAGTTTATCCAAATGTTCCACATTTTGCATGCATATGGCACTTGTGGAAAAATGTTTGTACATACTACAAGAGAAGTAAAAACACTCTAAGTAATCTGTTTTATTCGATGGCTAAGGCTTATCGGAAAAAGGATTTTGAAAAATTGATGGCTAAAGTGGAAAAAGTAGATGGCAGAGTTAAAAAGTATCTTGAAGAGGCTGGCTATGAAAGGTGGTCTAGATCTCATGCAACCGTGAATAGGGGTAGAATGATGACATCTAACATTGCGGAATGTATCAATGGTTGTCTTGTTGATGCACGACAATTACCTGTTTTGGACTTTTTGGAAGAAGCCAGAATTCTATTTGGTTCTTGGAACTGCAAAAATAGAGAAATAGCATCTTATACAAAGGAAACATTAGGGAGGAAATTTGAAGAGATATTGATTATAAATGCGTCCAAATGTTCGAAAATGAAGGTATTTATTCATATATCAAATATTATATATCTTGCTTCAATATTTTAAGATTTTTTTTGTATCAAAAAATCCAACAGTAACTTTTTAAAAACTATTGCAGGTTGTTGCATCTTCAGAATTCATTTTTTCAGTTTATGAAGGTGGTATAAGATACATCGTTTGCCTTGAGAGAAAGAAATGTTCTTGTGGTAGATTTCAGCATGATGAAATACCTTGTGCGCATGCAATGGCTGTTTTGAAGAAGAAGAATATCAAAGATGTACACCCATACTGTTCTGATTACTATAAACCTGATGCATTAGCAAACACCTATGCAGTTCCAATGGAACCAATGCCGGACAAAAGTGATTGGATAGTTCCGGAAAGTGTTTTGGAAGAAGTTGTATTGCCACCAAGATACAAAAAAATGTCTGGTAGACCAAGAAAAAAAAGAAAGAAAAATGCAGATGAAAAGCTAAGCGGAAACACAAATTGTTGTGGACGATGTGGACAAGAAGGTTACAATAGAAGAACATGTACTTTCTTTCCAAAAGATTCATAATGATTATGTTTCAGGAGTTCCTTAAATAAATGTAATGGTGTAGCATTTGGTTCCACTGTTACAAAGAGATTCTGATTCAATAAATTTCTTTGATCATTTCGCAATGTGTTCTCTAATTTAATTTAGTAATATAGTATCATGTGTGTAGATACTTAAAAAAATTTCATATTTTGAAGGCAAATAATTGTTCGTAATATATATAAATCATAGTACTGAATATATCTTATGTGTACAAAAGATATTAATTTTTTTTTAAAAAAAATAGTGTGTATCAAGTTTAATAACTAGTATCACTGTTTGTGATATTATATATTTTGATTTTTCATGTATCATATACATAATTTAATTACGTATCTGAATTTTCTTTTTTTGTATCATACAA